ATAATGATTTAAAACTTTGGGAACCTTGGCCTTGTAGTGGAGGTGGAATGTATTTTCCTTTAAAACCGCCTTGGGAAGGGTTTGAGCCCTCCCCTTGGTTTTTCCAAGAGAATTCGGGTGATTCCTCCAACTAGGATTGTAATGTTTTCCATAAGGGTTGTTCCCTTGATTAGCAAAAACAGCATTTGCTTGTTCATGATGCTCACTTTACACATGTCCATGGGGACAATTGGAAGTAGAATGTAAAACACTTGAACAAGTCATACATGTTTCATTAGATGCATGATGAGAATGGTTAGGGAAGGAAGATACTTGATTTGCCGAGTTTTGGTTGATCAAAAATTGATCAAACCTTTGAGATAATGATTTCATCTCGGCAGCAATTTCATTGGAGTGATCGACTTGATGTAAGCCAACACTCTTCCTACCACTAGAATTTCTACCATTCTTCGAAGATAAAGTACGATGCAAAGAATATTCACTCATGCTCTAATAAAGACGCCACACGCCATCCTCATGCCTATCAATGTAAGAGCCACCCATGGAAGCATCAACCATGCCTTTGTAATTGTCCGATAAGCGCTCAAAGAAATATTGAACTAATTGCCATTTGGGCATGTCATGATGTGGACACTTCCTAAGCAATTCATTAAAGCGTTCCCATACCTCATAAAATGTTTCTCCATCCCCATGTGAAAATTCTAGAATTGAGGTTCTCATGGCATTGGTCTTAGAAACCGGATAGTACTTCTTCAAGAACTCTTGTTGCATTTCCGCCCAAGAAGTTATTGAAAAAGACCTAAGATTGTTAAATCAGTATTTTGCCTTGTCTTCATGGGTGAATGGAAAAAGTTTAAGCCTTAAGACCTCTTCCGACATGTCCGTATATTTTACGGTGGAACATACTTCAAGAAACTCATCCAAATGCTTGTAAGGTTCTTCACTTGGAAGTCCATGATAATTAGGAAGCATTTGAATTGTTTGTGGCTTGATTTAATAGTGATGTGCTCTAAATGGTGGCAATTGAATGCATGTGGGTGCATTATATTCATTAGGCACATAGTGATCTCTTAAAGTAAGGGGAGGATTAGCAATTCGAGGTGCAACATAGGCACCTTGGTTGCCTTGAATGATGGTTGGTAGTGGAGCATAGATTGGCCTTGGTATTCCCAATGGAACTTGGCCTTGTTGTTATGGTGGATGAACATATGGCCTTGGCATGCCTAATGGTACTTGCATGTTATCATGATGCACATTGGGGTGCCGGATACCTTGTTGGTCTATGTGACCAAGGTCCTCCACATGGTCCTCATTGTGTCCTTCCATTGATGTAATGGATTGACTAGAACTACCTCTCCCCCAAGGGTTTCAAACAATGGATTCAAGATGAAAATTTAAAAGGACAAAAGTGGGTCTCAATGATCTACGACCATGCATGCACAATGTAACACAACAAGCAATACCAACAAACACTTCACCTTCACAACAAATCAATAATTAACAAACTTCCTCCATATACAATGTTCATACTCCCATGCTTAAATAAAATGCAAGAAAAGTAAATTATCTCCACGCGGGCTCATGATTTATCTAAGAATTGAATTACAGGCCTCTATGAGGGCCGACGATTTAACTAAGGGCTTGAGTAAAGAAAAGCTCACAAAGGTCCTTTAGCACTTCAACTCCAAATTTATAGCTTAGCTTAGCAATTTTTTGAATTTTTAGCCTTTTTCCTTGCTTGCTTAGCTCCTTTCCTTAAATGCTCCTTTGCTTGCTTCCTAACTCAATACTCCTTGTCAATCAAGAACAAACACAATAAATAACAAAAAATTGAAAACAAAGTAAAGACACGATCAAAAGAGTACTAATTCCTAATTGATTCCACAAATATGACGTTGCCAATCAATCAATCCCTGGCAACGGCGCCAAAAACTATGGTGTGTGTCTCGGAGGTCGCACAAAACAATGCAAAAAACTTTGAGTTTGGAAAATAGTGTCAAATGGGCACCATAATTTAAATTTATAAACCGCTTAACACTTATACTATGTAGTATGAGTGAGAAGGGATCGTCCCAAGGGATTGAGTTATCGTACTAGCTTGAGGAATCAAAATTAGGGTTAGTAGGTCGAGTGATCAAAATAGTGATTGGTTGGTTGAATTAAACTAAATGCAAATTAAGCTAAAGTACGTAATAATGCAATAGAGAGAATAAAATATAGAAGGAGATCTTGGGGTTTAGAGATCACCACTAAGCATAGCTTTTCTACACCTTCAATGAATGATTAATGAGGGGTAGAACATGTATTGCAATAAAGTGTGTGTGTGTGGTTGTTTCAACAAGCATGGATGAAAAATTAAGTATATATTGTCTAAACAACACGGTGGATAGCACAACATATCAAATTAAGCCATTAATTCTTTCTTTAAGCTTATAATCCAAACACATCACAAGGTTAGCGATACATATTATTTGCTTTTCATAAGTATGGAACATCAACAACAAGCATGAATTGTCCTCCCATTTAACAACTACACTACAACTAAGCTAATGACATGAAATTAAACTAATTAAACTAAGGGAGAGGCATAATCCATCAAGCAATAAGTATGAACCATCAAATAGACCACAAGAACATGACATTAAGCACTATGTCTTGACAATCTCTAGATCAATTGTATCAACACACATAGACATGCATCAATAACACAAGAAATAGAGACAAACACATGAACATCTATTCTAGCATACATAAACATATGGATAGAATGAAATGATCAAATTGAAGCATTAAATCACATAAATCATTGAAGAAACAAGATATATATATATATAAGTGTCAAGACATGAATTACAATACAAATCCCTTCAAAAATACATAAATCAAGAAATAGAAAGCATGCTTAGGGCAACTCTAGCCCCAAGAGGATGTCTAGCCACTCATGGATGATGTCCTCTAACCCTCAAGGGCAAGCTCCATGAATAAAATTTGTTCCTTGGTTGATGAAGAGTCTCCAATGGTGTCTCTAGCCTCCTCATCTTCTTTGCTTCCTCCCTAAGAGTAGCCTCTCTCTAAGAATCTCTAAGAATGCTAAGAATCCCCCTAAAAATGTGTATCATATTCTTTATATAGGTAGGTCAAGTGACACACAAAATGAGCTGGGGTCGTGCATTAAATATTCCCCAATGATTGGATAAGGACAGCCTTCAATGAGCTGGAAATTTAACTTTTTTTGCACTGGAGGAAGTTCGATCGATCGAACCTTGGACTTGGATTGATCGAACTTGCTGAGATCTATCGAACTGAGGCTGGATCGATCCTCAATGGCGGCGCCTTTTTGGATAAAAACAAATCTGAGATATTTTGAAGATATTTTTGGGAGAAGGACAAAAGTGGTTGGTAGGGTGGTACAACTGGATAAGATCAATCATTTGGATAAGGATAAGAATGTTCGATCGATCGAAGAAGGAAGTTAGATCGATTGAACTTTTGAGATCTTTGAATAGGGACAAATATAGCTCAGATCTATCTTGAAGTGCTTAGATCGATGAAAGTTTGATTGATCGAACTTTTCTTGAGATCGATCGAAGTTGCTGAAATTCCACCCGTTGCTTCATTTTGCTCTACTTTGCTCTTTTCTTTGATTAATCCCTGAATTGCTTCAATTATGCTCTTATTTGGCTGTGTTAACTTATTTTTGGGATAAGTATCTGAAAATGGAAATAACACGAAATCAATACAAAATGGTAAAATAAAGTAGATAAAGGTTCTAGAATACCTAAGCTTAAGGGGTTTAAATACGCATTTTTCAGCGCTCATCACTTTTCTTATTTTTTAATAAAAGAAACAGAAAATTAGAATCTAGGGTTTGTAACACAAGAAATACTAGATATGTTGTTATTGAGCCAGATATCTAAAATTAGGGTTTGAAACGCTAGGAGGGTCCTTCGTTTTCTTCTAATTCATATAATATATATGCATGTATAGCTAGAGAGAAATGATTACAATATAGATTTATCAATTTGTTGTTGAGTTGTTGATTATTTCCTGGAATCCGAATCTACCTAAGCTTCTGTGAGTATATATGACTGATAGCTAATTAAATTACACATAAACAATTAGATTTTTGTGTATTAAAAATCTCAATTGTTGTTCTAATGATTTGTATTATGATCCTTATATGAGTTTTTGTTTTTGTTTTTTTTATTTAAGTATATGAATTTAAATATGAGTGCTGTTAGATACATGGGGTCACGAAAATCTTGAACTTAAATACAAATAACAATAAAATTTACTATCTGAAAGAAAAAAAAAAAAATGAAAATTTCAGTATTCTTTGTCTCTTCTTCCCTCTTACTCAAGGACCGTGAATGAGATACAACAACTCGAACCAAAAGCCTATTATCCACACACCCAATTTATACATGGCATATTCTTTTTCACAAAAAGTCTAATTTGTTTAGACAATGTCTATATTTTTCTTGATGATGTTGATGAAGATGAGGTTTAGGATGATTCCATATCTACTACTCAATGGATGTGAAACGTCTTTTCTGGATGTCAAATGTCTTTTTTGGATATTATAAGCTTTGATTAACTATATATATATATATATATATATATATATATATATATATATATATATATACATATATGCAGCTTTGACAATAATATTGTAGTATCATATTTTGTAGCATGCACATGTACACTTCCCATGAAAACTGGTTTAGTTTTTTTGTGTGCTTATATATTTTTAATATGTTTTGATCTATTCTTGGCACATTATTGTATAAGTTCAATCAATGATTTGACCAAAACAGAATGGTTTTATATAATATCCATTGGACAACCAAAAATACCCTAAAGTTTTGAGGTATTTGTTATTTATTTTTATTGGTTTTTCCTGGACCGCCTTTTTTTTAACAATTTGATTGCATTCTCTTAAATGAATTCTCACTTTTTTGTTCGCTTTTCCAGGAAGGATAAATAATAAGCTGACAATGAAACGAACGGTTAGTGAAGTGGAAAAAGTGAGTGAACAAAATACCAAAGCTTCAACTTTAAAAATCATCCCAACCACCGCCGAAGAAGAGACGGGGCCCAACACGATGCAAGAATGTCGTAAACGCAACAACCTTATTACCTTTAAGGTACATATATGTATATATAGATCATCTTATATAGTTTACATAATTAGACTATATTCAATATGAAGGAGAAAAAAGGATTCCTATCTTTATTTTTGTACTAAACATCTACAATTGTTAATTTTTGTTTATGGTTAATAAGTTTGGACAGCCGATCGGCCCTGGAAGTGGTACATATACTAATTATTTGGGAACGCTTGCCCGGAATGGTAAATTAGCTCCATTGTGCTACAAAACTTGGTGGGAGATGTCTAAACAGCTGAAGGAGGATATATGGAACATTGTAAAGTTAAAACCCTTCAATGACATTAAAATAATTTTTATAGAAAAAGTGGACTAACATGCAGCAATTATCACATTTTCAGGGAAAGTATGATGTGGGAATTATGTCAAAACAGTGGACATTATCCTCCATCGGAAAAAAAATGGAGGGAGTACAAGTGTGAATTAAAAAATGAATACTACTCGGTTAGTGATACAGATGCAGAAAGATTGGCAAACTCACCACCTGATGTTGAAAAGGAGCATTGGGAATTTTTGGTTAGGCATTGGGGTACGCCTATGGCGAAAGTAATCCTCCATCTACCAATTTTGTTTAAAGTCAATGAGTTGAATTTATAGTTTACCTACTTTCAGTCATTATTTTAGGTGGAATGTTCTTTGCTTAAAGAACGTTTACTTTTTCTCACTTTTTGAAGGAGGTCAGTGAAAAAAACAGAGAACGTCATGGGAAACAGACTATGATGCATACTACAGGGACAAAAAGCTTTGCACGTATTTCTACCGAGGTTAGTTGAAGTTTTGGCAATATAAATTATTTCAATTCTTATGTCGTTGAATAATTATAAATGTTAGTGGTAAATAATATATATCACAATGTCTATGTTTCTTTTATAGATTGAGGAAAACGAAGGTATTCAGCTTTCTCGTGCAGATTTATTCTTTCGCACACATATAAATAAGGATGGCAAAGCCACTGATGCTGCTATTTCAGAGATGATTGTAAGTTTTCATGCTTCATTTTACAAAAAGGGGGTCACGTGCCTTGAAGTGACCAATTTTTAAACTTTTTGCGGTGTATTAGGGGGTCACATGCCTTGAAGTAACCAATTTTTAAATCATCGGCCTGTGTGGAGGCATTTTAATTTCATTGTTTATCATCGGCCCGTGTGAAGGCAATTTACTTTCTTGTATTTGTTGAAAAGCATGGGAGTATGGGATCATTGTATGTGGAGGCTTCTTGTTGATTGATTTATGTTGTGGAGGAGAAGTATTTGCTATTTGTTGTTTGTTGTTTGTTGTTTGTTGTTTGTGTTAATTTCTTACTTATACTAGTGCAATGGTCTTTTGAATGTAGGCAACTTCAAATAGTAGGAATAAGGCTTTGTTGAGTTAAGCTGAATAAGTATTTTTGGTTATGCAACATATTTTTATGATATACATATATATAGTTGCATTTAAAATGGTAAAAGTATGATATACACATCTATAGTTAAAAGTATGATATACACATATATAGTTTTTGGTCATCCTTGCATCTTCAATCATGGTAAAAGTACGTTATACACATATATAGTTGCATTTCAGAATGGCCAGCACATAACAATGTAACTTGCTATTTGATATTGCAAAAAACCGAAGGGAAATTGTTACCTTTCCTAATGAACTTCACTTAATAACAACCAATTTTTTTTTTTTTGGTAAACCCCAAAAGGCCAAGGGCTTAACATTGAATGTTACTGGTCAAAAATAAATAAATAAGAATGTTTATATTTTAGCTCATTTTTAGTTTTAGACTTTTCTTACTTTCCCAGTATCTCTTCCATAGGAAACCATTTAGCTACCAGTTTCCATGCCTTAGGCATAATAGGAGTCATGTAAACAAGTTTTATGACTTCAGTTCATTTCTCTTATTGGTTATTTGCCCTCCTTTTCTTCTTTTTCTTCTACCTTGGAAGTTTTCTGTTATGATCAGGTTTAAATAAATCAGTACCTTCTTTAATCCCAACTAGAGCAGTCACTATAGATTGTTTAGATTGTTTATTATTGTTTTTACCCTACTTCCTCTAGGCAACAAATTCTCCTTCCTTTATTAAGTGATGACTAGGGATTCTTATTTTATGTCTTGGAAAACGAATTTCTATATTATATTAATGATTACATTTAGATTCATAATATTTTTAAAAAATTGATCTTTCTATAATCAATCAAACACATATGCTCTAATAAGGAAATAAGTTTTGCAAATCTATTCATATAACTTCACTAAGAAATTAATATATCCAAGTTACGAATATATATAAACTACAAAGCAAGATTAACTTGCCTCAGTGGGGAAAATCCCCATGGAGTCTTTCTTCCTTCTATTTCGTTCATGGCCGGAACCAAGATTTCTCTTCCTTAAGACCTTAGCCGATCCATTTTTGTTTTCCATTTCTGTTTATAAACAAAATAAATAAATAAATAAGATGTGTAACAAAGCTAACCCAAACAAACACTGAGTATATGAGAGCAAAAGGTCCAAACACTCTCTCATTGTTCACACTCCTACTCCTCACTCAACCCACCATAGTTTTACCAGCTGATTCTAAATGTAATGACCCGGTCATTTTCCTTCCTTTCCTTTTCTCAGATTTTTACGGATATTTTTTTTTCGTTGTTCTTTTCCTTTCTGAGTTCAGTTTTTCATCACTTAGTGTTGTCTCGAGTGCTCTGGAATGATTTCCGAGGCTTTTTTTTCTTTGGATTGACAACTTCCTTTAAGGACCGAGTCATTTTCACATTTTTCATTTTTCGACACTACTCACTTTTCGTCCTTTCCCCTATTTCGTCTTTTTCCCTATTTTGTCTTTTCCCCATTTGTCACTTTTTAGCATAACCTCACTTTCCGTGCTCAGAGTTGGTTTTGAACTTCACGTGCCTTCATCCTAAGTGGTTTCCAAGAAATACGTATCTTTACTTTTGTAAGAAAGTACTCTGGTTGCTCCCGGTGTCCGTAGGGGTATGGATGCACAGTTTTTCAGAATCTTTTTCTTTTCTTGGGGTGTTTTTCATAAATATCTTTTGAAGATATTTTATTTCAGGGGTTTTTAGGAAAATATTTTTTAAAGATATTTTCATTCTGGGGCATTAGTGCAGTTTTTACTTTTTGGAGAGGCCATTGTGCAATTAATGAAAGTTATTGCTAAATGCCTTATTTTGAGCATGGATCCTCATACGGGATTCGTTTTCACATTTCGTTGAGTCGTGTACTCTTAGAATTCCCTTCTGGTCGTTTTTCTCCAGTTTCAGGGTTTTTGGCCCCGATTGCCGCCGAACTTGTTCGGGACATAACTTTCTGCTCGGAACTTGGTTTTTGACGCCATTTCTTTTGTTGTTCATATTTTCTCATTTTAAACCGTTTTCATTCACAGAGTTTTACTGTTTGAGCACTTCTGCTCAAATTTCACTTTTCCGGACCCGGCGGGGCCCTTTCGGGGCACTTTTAGGATTTTCCTATAAAAGGGGGGTGAGACATTTCATTTTTCACTTTCTCCCCCCTTCATACACGACCTGAATCTGCCATGGCAGCCCAAGGGGGGTTGCCACCCTTCTCCTCTCATTTTAATCTCCTTCCCTTTGTTATAAAGTCATAGTGCCTTTGCGTTTTGTGTTTGTCTTGACTACGCGCATCTTTCCCCCTTATTAGAACCCATTTTTGGCCAAATTTTGAGTTCGGGTTTAAGGCCAAGTTAGGATTTTGGTAGGTCCTCTTTGGAGTTTTATGTTCACGGCGTTGTCCCCGACAAAACCCTGAAGTATTGTCGGATTTGGAGCCGTTTCATTTTGGTGGCTTTTGAGATTTCATCTGAAATTGAGGTAGGGGATGTTTTAGGATTATATATGTATTGTATTGGGTGTTTTCCATGATTATACAACTTGTATGTATGCTTTGGTTTAAGTCCTAGAATTTAATTTAATTATTTTCTATGGTTAACATTTAATTCTCATGATGATGTATAACTTAGAATTAAATTGTGGCTTGCTAGAAAGTTTGGATTTGATATGTTTGTTAACATATATTAAATTAAAATTATTTGAATAAGAATTGCACTTTTTATTTAATATTTTTCTTTTGTGAAAGATTAATTCCCATGGTCGTATCTTTCATGAAATGAACTTGTAATGTGCTTTTAAATTAAGTCTTGGCATGTTCCTTAACATACTTTAATTTGAGAGCATTTGGATAAGTATGAAAATCTAGAGATTTTAATTAAAATGATTAATTAAGATATATTTAAAGGTTCCATTGGTTTAATTAAGTTTTTGACTTGGTATTTGTGAGGATTAGGACTTGTATACTAGCATATATTAATTTGGGACCATTTGATGCTGTTTTAGAATTTAGGGATCTAATTATCATGTTTTAATTAAATTCCATCCTATTGATCCAATGACCTAAGTAAGCTTTTGATTTGATTCATGTAATGAATTGGTTATGTTGTTTAACATGAGTTAATTAGGGTTCATTTGATTGAGATATGAAACTTAAAGAAATTAATTAGGTTATATAATTAATTTCCGTTTCTATTGTATTATTGATTAAATCATGTGTTTAATATTGATATTATGTTTGAAATATGATTTTAGACTAGTAATGGATTTATGCGATTATGTTTTAGTATTGAATTATATTGTTATAGCGTGTAATGAATCGTATATTGAAGATTCGACATGTGATGTTATTATAGCGCGTAACGAATCGCGCTCTGAAGATTCGACATTGTCATCCTATAGTAGTTGTGGATTTAGAGCATGTATTGTGTGGTTTCAACCTACTTGTGCATGGAATGTAGTTTCGTGCTCTATATATATATTTCGTATATATGTTGTTAACTTATTTATTTTGGAGTCTTGGGACATTGTTACTGTGATATGGCTAGAGTTTGGCTCTAGTGCGGGAGATATGAGTTCTCCCCGTTGAGATAATGCGCACGAGGGTGGTCTTCCCAGCGGGTTAATGCCCGGAATAACCATTTTGTTCTTAGTTTAGTCTGAGAAGTGATGTCCAAGTCTTCCACTATTTGTTTTCGCATTCAATTCCAAGTTGACAACCAATGTTTAATTGTGACTTATTGTTTTGGTTATTGGCGATTTAATGTTGTTAAGTAGATTTATGCATTATGATTTTGAATGAATAATAGCATGCCTTTAATGTTGTTAAGTACATTCATGTTTTATGATATCTAATGAATCATTGCAGGTTTTAATGTTGTTAAGTACATCTATATTATAAATGTTCAAATGTAGCTTAGGAATGATCATATAGATTCATTTGGAACATAGACGTTAGGTGGCATGACCCACTCTCATTGTTTTTGCACTTTAGATTTCAAGTTGTTAACTTTGAGAATCTACATCTTGTTGCTTTGTATAACATGCTTCTCTGTTGTTTGAATTGCATGAATGATGTGATTTATGCTAGAAATGATCTAGGGTAGCTCAGGATACTCCCTGAGTCTCACCCTTGACATAGACGTTAGGTGGCATGAGCCCTTTGACATGTTTCACCTTAAGCTGATAAAATTGTAAAATGCTAGGTCGATGCATGCTCATTTCCTACGAGTAGCTTTATGTTACTCACCCCAAAGTTACTGGGGCATATTTTCAGGTACAGGAATCAAGGTTGAGATTCTCATTATGCTCAGATGATTTGTGGACTTGAAGGTTCCATTCCTGTAAAGGTTGGCTTGAAATGCCATTTATAGCCTTATTTGTCAAATGTGTATATTTGATTCTAAACTTGTAATGTGTGCCTAAGCACACTTTCTGATTCTCATTTTATATATATGATATGAGGCAAAGGGCTAAACCATATTTGAAAGATCGATCTCACTATGTCCAGATTGATCCAACTTAGATCGATCTCATCTTTTCCTGATCGATCAAATTTCATCAATTTGCATTTTCATATCTCTGTACCTTCTACAGTGTTCATGCTAGTTTATTTATGCCTAATGCCTGTGTTTTCCATATTGGATGCAATCCATACTTATATTGTTCAGCATGCTTCACTTATTTGAACATTCACTGTCCATGCCTGGCTACATTACCACTTGCATAGATTTATGTCGATTATTCTGAGTTGTCTATCTTACCTTATAAACATGTTTCTATTTGTGTGCTTTCAATTCTATATTTCATATACTATTCTTATTACTGACTCCAGTTGCAAGTGTTTTTTTCTTTTGCAGACCATAGCCCGAGTCAAGACTGTTGCCAATCGGCAGTATGTATGCCGAGTACGATAGTGTGTGAAAGAGCCAAAGGAGCATGAGGAGCCAACTCCAGCTCAGTCTGAGCATTTTTCTTCTTCTTCTGCTTCAGCCTTTTCATCTTCTTCATCAGCGGATGAGGCTGAGCATATACCACCTCCTTCACCACCACTAATACTGCCAGGCTAGGTCCAAGATAGACCTAGCAGGAGATATACACGCCTTCAAGTGGTGTATGAGTCGATCTTCCACATTGCTTTCTTTTCCCGATCGATTCTGACCCGGGCGGCCATTGATGATATTGACTACCGCGGTATTTCAGCCATTTTTTGGTCCAGTCACTTACCCGGTTTACCTGAGGCTTGTCCGGTTGTTCTACCAAAACCTCCGGCTGGCCCCGAGTAACCTATCGGAGTTGCGGACTACTATAGATGGCCATCTCATCCGCGTTACTGTTGAGTCATTGGCCACATCTTCTCGATGCCCGCATGTCTGCCCTCCCGGCCTTCACTATCCTATTCTCCGGAGGCCATCTGATCCAGATATAGCCGTTGCTCTTACTAGGCATTACAATGACAATGAGACATTCGCCACTCAAACTTATCTGCCGAATAATTTATGGTTCTTTGATTCAATTCTGTACCGAAACGTATTTATGGCGAGCCATAAGATCCAAAAGTGCTCAGACTTTCTTGCTGCCCTTTACGCCTTTTATACAGGGCATTGGTTTTCTGTCCCAGCACTCTATTAGAGTGTTATGATGAGGCTATATGCGAGCTACATTAGTAAGGCCAAGCCTGGGCGAGCTACTTTCCTCCCCTTTGGACATCTTATTACTCAAATCCTCTGAGACCAGCATTACCCTTTCCATATAGCGGAGTATACTGAGTCAGGGGCTTGCCACTATGGCAAGAAGGATTGGAACAAAAGTTATAATACTCTTATCAAGAGTTTAGAGTAAGAAGCCATTTTAGTAGCAACGGAAGCTGCAGAGGCAGAGCTAGTTGAGATGGCAAAGCAGGTAGCAGCAGTAGGAAATGATCCAGTAGACCCACCGGTGGCTACGGACGCGCATATGGATATAAATCTAGAGTGAGAGCCTCTAGAGGAGTCACCACATCACTCTCCGGTAGGGTCGCCATTACACTCTCATGAGCAGGTTCAAGATGTGCCTCAGTTTCATGACCCAGTCATCCCTGACACTCTAGTTCCGACACCTGGCCTAGAAGAGCATATACAGACTTTGGAGGACACATTTGTCTCTCTTCGGCTAGATATGGCCTCCTTCAGCACTGACGTGACTACTCTCTGCTCAGACATTTTGGCTGCGCTGCAGGATTTATCCAGAGATATCCGTGGGTCACACCCCGCTCGCCCGACCTCCTCTACTTAATCTATCTCTCTATCTTTCTACTCTCATTTTATATATCTGTGATATTTAACTGTTATTGTTATTTTGATACTATTATTTTTATGGCCAGTCTGTTGGCCCGATACTGTGATGTACTCTATACTTTTATTTTATTTTTCTGTATTGTATGCATGATATTTTTGGATGTCCAGTTGCTATATTGATATATCTATCTATTATTGACTCCATTCTCAGGTGTATCCTAGTAACTTTAGTGAGAGAGTGCTTGTGACGACCCAAGTTTTTCAACCCGGTGTGTTAGTGATGAACCGAAAGTTGATCAAATAACAGATCCGAAATGTGGAAGCGAAACCAAAAACAAGGTCTATAGAGATATCAATCCTCCCTAAGACACCCAAATGACTTTCCATGAAGTTATGAAACTCAAAGAAATAACCGAAAGTGGAAACTAGAGTAAAAAGGTCAATTGGTACCCCATGGCACCAATGACAACCAAAGGAAACAAAACCTAGTTCAAACTTAACTACTTACACCATTAAATGGCTTGAACAAGACCAACAAGGTCTAATGGAAACAAGTGGAACAAGGTAAAACCGTCAAGGCAACAAACCAAGCAAAACTCACAAGGCAGCTCCATTTCGGTCAACCGAAATGGAGCATCAGTCTACCGAAATGAACCAAGAATAGAAGAGGGATGAGCCTTCAGTTCGGTCAACCGAAGTGATAAACTGGTCGACCGATTTGAGGCTCGAGATAAAAGAATGAGTTTCGGTCGACCGATGTAGAGAACCGGTCGACCGAAATAAGCCTCAATAGTGAAAATGGCTACTAGAGTTGAGATTTTTACTGTTCAATTGAAGTTCAAAGGGTTCGGTTGACCGAAATAAGCCACCGGTTGACCGAAACAGGTAGAAAATGTACTGAATGAACCTTCTATGCACCAAAAGTGAAGAGAAGTTCCTAAGTCTCAAATGGATCCCCCAAAGCATGATCAAATTGAATTGTATGCAAGTGTGTGACGATGTGAACATACACGCAATTGTAAAATGACATTTTAAACATGCTGGAATGGCCAATGGCCTTATTATATTTCATAGGCAAAACTTAAACATGCTAACACTTGCATGTGAACAAGAATGCATTAAAAGAAACCTGAATCTACAAATCACCCAAAGCAAGTGCAAATCTCCAGATCTTGAAACCTGTACCTGAAATATGCCCCAGTAACTTTGGGGTGAGCAATATAAAGCTACTCGTAGGAAATGAGCATGCATCGACCTATATTTTACAATTTTATCACCTTAAGGTGAAACATGTTAAAGGGTTTATGCCACCTAGCGTCTATATCAAAATGAGACTCAGGGAGCATCCTAAGCTACCATAAATCATTTATAGCATAAATCACATCTTCCATGCAATCTCAACAACATAGGCGCATGTTATACAAGCAACATGATATAGATTCTCAAAGTCACCTACTTGAAATCTAAAATGCTAAAACAACTATAGTGGATCATACCACCTAAAGTCTGTGTTCCAAATGAATCGATAGGATCATTCCAAAGTCACATTTGAACAACAAAGCACAAATTACAATATCTACGCAATTAACCAACATAGAAGCATGCTACACAAGGTATCAAGATATAGATTCTCAAGGTTTTCATCTTGAAATCTAAAATGCAATAACAACTAAATATAACAATTTAGTACAATTAGAATTTCTAATACCACACATCAAGACATAGATTCTCTAAGTTATCAACTTGAAATCTAAAAGTGTGAAAACAAATAAATATAACAATTTAGTATGGATGTACTTAACAACATCAAATCGCCAATAGCCAAAACCACAAGTCACAATTAAGCATTAGTTGTCAACTTGGAATTGAATGCGAGAACAAATAGTGGAAGACTTGGACATCACGTCTCAGACTAAACCAAGAATAAAATGGTTATTCTGGGCATTAACTCGCTAGGAAGACCACCCTAGTAAGCACTATCTCAATTGGGGAGAACTCATACCTCCCACACAAAAGCCAAACTTTAGCCATATCACTTGTAACAATGTCCCAAGACTCCAAAATAATCAAATAAGTTCACAACTTATATGTAATTTGTATAATGCACGAAAATCACCTTCCATGCACAAGTAGGTTGAAACCACACAATCAATGCCTTAGAGTTTAAATTCTAAAATGGCATATATAATGTCAAACACTTTACACAAGTCAATCATATATTCAATATTGGAAACAAGTTCTCATGAATATAAATTTAACAACAATATACTTAATACTTAAAACATAACCAAGAGACTACACAACAAGTCCAAATCCATGATTTAAATATAGAAATAACTTCTACAACATAAGTAAAATCCATGGAACAATGAGATAGAATTTAATGAAATTATGATAATTAAATCTCTAATATCCAAATCAACTCTAAATGGTCCCAAATTAATATATGTTAATACACAAGTCCTAGTCATTACAAATATCAAGTTAAAAACATAATTAGGCCAATGGAACCATTAAACAGATTTCAATTAATCATTTTAATTAAAATCTCTATATTTTCATACTTATCCAAATGCTCTCAAATTAAAGTATCTTGAAGAACATGCCAAGACTTAATTTAAAAGCATATTACAAGTTCATTTCATGCAAGGTACAACCATGGGAATTAATCTTTCACAAAAGAAAAATATTAAATAAAAAGTGTAATTCTTATTCAAATAATCCCAATTTATTATATGTTAACAAACATATTAAAGCCTAATTTATCATCTTGCCATAATTCAATTCTATGCTATATACACCTTTGAAGTTTAAATCTTATACAAAGAAATAAATATTACTAACTCATTAGATTTGATACAAGGCATGCAAATAAGTTGTATAATCATGCAAAAACACCCAATATAACACATACAAAATCCTAAAACATCCCCTACCTCAATTTGAGATGAAAATCTCAAAACCCCACCGAAAAAAAGGTGCTTCAAATCCGACGATAGTGAAGGGTTTTGTCGGAGACAACACGATGAACAAGAATCCCCAAGAAGCCCCATCAAAATCACAACTTGACTTCAACCCAAACTCGAAAAATGGTCAGAAATGGGTTCTAATAAGGGGGAAAGGTAGAGCACGTCGAGGGGAACAATAAACGTTAAGGCTGAAGACTTTTCACTAAGGAAATCAAGTAGAGGAGAAGAAATAAATAAGGCAGCCCCTTGGGCTCCCATGGCTGCCGGCCAAGAGGGTGAAGAAGATGATGAAAATCTGACTTTTTGACTTTGAGTCCCCCTATTTATAGAAAATCTCAAAAAGTTCCCCGAAAGGGTTCCGCCGAGTCCGAAAAATTGGATTTTGAATAGACGCGCTCAAATGACAGAACTCTGTGAATGAAAAAGATTCAAAATGAGGAAATATGAACAATGGAAGAAATGGTGTCAAAAACCGAGTCCCAAGCAGAGAGATATGCCCCAAACAAGTTCGGCGGCAACCGAGGTCAAAAACTCTGAAACTGGAGAAAAACGACCAGAACAAAATTCTAAGAGTACACGACTCAATGAAATCTGAAAATGAATCCCGTACAAGGATCCAGGCTCCAGACGAGGTATTTTTGCAATAACTTTCATTAATTGCACAATGGCCCT